CTCCTCTTAGTCTTCTCTAGACTAAATAATCCCTGCTCTTCCACCTTTTCTGATAAGTCTTGTTTCCTAGACCTATAATCATTTTTGTTTTCTTCATCTGCTGCACTCCTTTTAAATTCCCAATTCTTGGAGCATGATGCCCAAACTGGACGTAGTATTCCAGGTGAAGCCTTACAACTGCTGAAGAAAGCAAAAGAATCACTTCCCTTGATTTGCAAGTGACAATCCTGTATACTGCCTAGTATGCTATTGGCCTTTTTTGCAACAAGAGCATACTTGTTAAGAATGCAAGTGTCAGTAGACTATAGTCTAGAAGTCAGGAGTTCCATACACTAGATCATTTGTGGCCAACCTTTCTGGTTGTGCCACTAGTTAAGACCTGTCCCTTCCCCTTATGCTGTTGTGATACTTATCACCCCAAAGGTAAGCCTGATGGAGTTTGCACCATGGGGTGCCAGAATGGCAGCAGGTGGGCTTGTGAAAATCAGGAGTAGAATATACCTGGAAGAAAAGTATCGCCACCAAGAGCCAGATTTAACTTTGAAAAAAGTCAGTTGAGCCACCTGAAATTCCTTATGGATATTGCCTGTAAAACTGGGAGTGTACACGGGCGATTTTGCTAACCAAGCTGTGTTGTTCATTGTTTTTCTTGTGCAACTGATGTGGCATTGTCAGCAGAACTTTGAGTTTCAGTGTCAGTGAGACAAGGCACAAGTAAAGGTTTCAGTATCATTTGATTTAATCATGAAGTAAAAGGGTTTTTTTAGGTGGAAAGCTGGGGATCTTCCAAATGGAAGATCATGACAAAAATTGAGTGTAAGTAAACTTCTTAACTGGAACTGGAATTTCTGGTGGTCTGTAATGGTATAACACTTTTTTTTTCCCCCGTTGCATACAATACTTCCAGTAAAGGAGTTCCAGTTAAGTTCTTACACAGGAATTAAATTAAGTTTCCTGATGTAGCTGGAGAATTGTTCCTAAATAAGATCCTTTCATGAATATTGGGAAAACCGTGTTCAGTCATTGACAGAAATAATTATCTATTAAAATCAAATATAGCAACAAGTGTGGGGGGTATAAGCCCTTCCAGCTTTTTTGTGCAGTGATTAGAACCTCTGCACATTCTAGCTAATTAGCATATAATTCTTACAGTTTTAAATTTATTTTTTATGTTAGATATTAAATAAATGTCATGGTTAGATAGTTGGGCATGTATTTTAGTCCCTCCATATCCAGAGCAGTGGTGCTGGCCTCCATGAAGGGAGTGGAACATCAGTAGGTGCCATAAGGTGTACAATTATGGTTGTTGTCAACTTCACTTATTATTGTAGGCTTCTGTTGGTCATGGGGTATGCCATTCTTGGTGCTGTGACCATTTTGTGGTAAGTACTTATTGTACAGTGCTATTGTATTTGCATTTTTTTTCTTCTGCCTCCTTTGCGAAGTCTGCCAGATGCTAACTAACTTTTAACTTCTGTTAAAGAAGCAGACGTATAGACTTCTGAAGGATAGTTCTTCAATTCTGTGTATAATTCTGTTCAAAACCTTCATTAAGTTTTTAACATATACCACATCTTTTCCAGTATAGTAGAATATGTGAAGGAGTAGTTTCTATTGACAGGTGAGAGTAGATTCTGTTTCCTTCAGCACTCCTGAAATGAGGGTCCTCAATTACGATAAAACTACTGTTATTCCATTGGGTAAAATAACATAAATCATGCATGTAGCTATCTTTGCATCTCCTGTGTGTTTCTGGGACCTGTTGCACATATTCAAAGTTTGACAACTGGGCGATTAGTTTTCTTAGCCACTACTTTTTCACAGATGTTGTGCAGGAAATGTTCAAGTTAGGATGTTCCAGGAAATGGAGCAATCAGCTACTAGGTAGACTGACTATTGCCTTGTTGTATGGTACTTTAAGAAATAATTTCAAGTAAGAGTGGCTATTTAAAGCAGGGAAATAGATTCAAATAGAATGCTGGTGTAAACTGAGTTGAAGTAGAACAAGGATGATAGTTTCCGTTCTTTACAGTTTTTACTGGAAACTGGTTAAGAAGTTAGAAGTGGCTTTGCGTTTTATGAAAATGCCTATGTCATGGCAGGTGCTATATGCTCAGTGGCTGTTTAATTTCTAAATTCTAAAATTATGACTCTTCTCCAGTTTTTGATATATTCATTTTTTTGTTTTTTAATCCAGTTCATTATTCTGTCTTCAAAAACCAAAACAATGTTGAAATAGTGTGTGTAAGAGCAAAAAGAAGCTTCAGCAAAACAGTGCATTAAAAGAAGATAGGATTTGAAATCCCACAAAAGGAAAAGTGTATTTTATAAATGGTCAGAATGTAGGTCTTATACATTGCTAAGAAGTAAGGTAAACATAGATGCCTTCTTGGGAACTGGGAATATCATGGTCAACCTGTTACTCCTAAAGCATATCATCGTGTTTTGTTACGTAGAGTATTAACTCTAGGGCATTAGGTTTTAAACAAGCCTATGTAAGATTCCTGGCTGGAAGTATCCTGCAAGTCTGTCTTTACAGTTTTGATTAGCATTAGGCCCAGGATTAAGTATTTGGTTCCATTTTGAAGCTTGGATTTTCTTCCAGTTTGTTTTGGAGATGTCAACTTTGCGTCACTTAACTTTTCTTTATAATTGTTCCTCTTCCTTGGGCACGTCTACACATGGCTGTCATTTAGTACTTCCTTCCTTATGGAAGTATTAAATGATGGTGAAGTTACAGCCCGTATTGCGTCATGCTGGTCTCGCATGGTTATTCTTGGCAGCTATGTCCCCGTAGCAATGTGCTATAACGATGGAGTGTGTTGCTATGGCACCGTAGCAGAGTCATGGTTTTTGCCAACGGACGCTACGGTGCTGTAGTGTCTTGTGTAGATATACCCTTGTGTTGTAGTGAAGATGGGAAATGCCATTTATGATCAAACCGGTTCAGTCTTATGTCTTTAACATTGGCCAATGCAGATGCTTAAGTAGTATAAAAAATATTGAAAGCATCCTGTAGTGGACAACTAGATGATAACATATCCAGAAATCTCTTGCTAATCTTGTCAGCTGTTAGTTGTCACAATAGCTGATGTTTACTGATCTGTATTCCTTAGTTTAATTTTTAAGTTCACAACATGATAAAATGGAGTGCATTTTCCTTCTGATTTTTTTCATTATGCTCATTGCTTTGTGATAACGGCTTTGAATTTATCCAGTTTTAGATTAATATTTTTTTTAATTCATTCAAGACCTGACTTTCCATATAGTTTTTATGATGTGATAATTATTTTTCTCTCTTAAAGTGCAGTAACAAATGAGGGTGTAATTAGGGGTTCTATTTAAATGAATGGCAAAACGCCAGTGCCTCAAGTGGGTTAGAATTTTCATCTAAAGTGGTTTTTTTTTGGGGGGGGGTTATAGTCTTTATCATATAGCTAATAGAAAGATTAAGTGTTTTAGTAAAATGTTAGTTTTGCTTACTACTCTTTTTGTAGTCACTAGATGGAAGCTCGTTTAAAAAGAAAAAAAATCCCAAATCATATGAACTATAAGAAAGTAAACAGGTTGTAAATGAACCCAACATATTTTAATTTAAAAATGATAGTGCTAGATTGATGTTAAGTGATGTTTATTCAGGAAATATATATGAGAGAGGTATTTTTGTGGCTGATATCTTTTATTGGACTAACTATGGTTAGGGGAGAGGTTAATACAAGCTTTTGGATGCAATGTATTCTCCTCATACCTGAAAAAGAATGTACAACATTCAAAAGTTTGTCTGTCCTATACTAGTGATGTGAAAGGGTAAGTATATTTATTTTGGTAATCCATTACTGGCTAACATTTATCATGGGGCACAGTTCAGTGGGTGAGGGAAGTGGTGCAGTGCCTCAGGAAGGAGGAGGCAGCAGGGCAGGTAGGAGGGGGGGAGGTGAATGGGTGAGGGGGGACCTAGTACCCATAGCCCATGAGAGTGGGGACCTAGTACCCATAGCCCAAGGAGGAAACAGTGTGCAGCCTAATGACTCGTCAGTTAAGAAATTAGCTGCTGGTTCACAGTTGATCCCTCCCAGCACAGTAGTGGCTGCAGCGGGCTGAGAGCCCCTCACCTGCTGCTGCTGCTGCTTGTAGCTTCATGTGGGCTGCATTGCCTTGCGGGGGTTGTCACCACTGCTTCCCCCCATTAAAGGCCCTGGGAAGTGGCTCCCAGCATCAGCTGTCTGAGCTGCTGTGTTATTGGTTAACAGTTTAAACAATATAATTAGAGGAGGTTAAATGAATACTTTTTAAACAATATTTAAGTCCCTAGTCTATACCAGCTATACATTGGGTCCAGTAAAAAATATTACCCGCCAAAATCCTCACCTCCATATTGCTTTGAAAACACAGATGTTCAAAGCTACTATTCTTCTGAAATGTATTGTTCTGCACTGATTGGCAGAAGGACTTGAGACTACCTTTAATCTTATTTCTCTATTTCTGCTTTTTCAGTGGAAAATATAGTGCTTCTTGCTCTGTGAAGCTCATTTCTTTTATTTTGATTGGGAAGGAGAGAGGACGATTGTGGGAAAGATGCAGTTAATCTTGGTGTAGGTTGTTTCCTATCTAAAAAGGTTTAAGGAAATCTTAGTACAAACTCGAAATATCTTTCCGGTTTTTGCATTTACTAATGTCTGGGTAGAAGAGTCTAAATATATGTTATCAAATTGCATTTTAATATATAGTGGAAAGTGTCTGCTGTTTAATTTATATAGACCCCTTTATTGCATTAGACCTTTTTATTGCCTTGGGTAACAGCATAGTAAAATGTATACTGAATCTTTGGCATGCTTGTTTAAAATATTCCTGATTTGTAAACATTGTTAAATATATTTTTGTTGCATGTTGTTGCTAACATATGTATGTTTTATAGTTTATTGTAAAGGTCAGGTCATACTGTCTTAACTGCATTCAACAAATTACTTTTCTTATGTTTTCTTGTTTTGTTGTTATTTTAGGTTGGCTGGAGTACTGCACGAGATTATTATACGTTTCTGTGGTCACCAATGCCGGAAAATTACGTGCAAGGATCAACTGTTAACTGTGTGCTGACTTTTCAAGGTGAGCAAGCACATATTTGGTAATAGAGGGTCAACCTAGATGTGATATTACTTTTACATTTTAACACCAGTGATCAATTACACTGAAGTCCTGGCAGATGTGTTCTTTTTCTAGGTGTGACAGATAACTTTATTAGATGAGACCATGTGCCGATTTAAGCTCTCATTTGTTCTTTCTTAGTTTTGTAAAGTTTTGCTAATTGTTGAAGAAAAACATAATAGAGCAAAACTTGTTCTTTTCAGGCTAACTTTTTTTCTCTTTCAAACTTCAAAGAAATTATAATAATGGGTTTGTGACTTGGAATATTTTATGTAATGGCCCACTGCATTTATAAAAAAAACAGATCGGGGAGAAGCTACATTGTCTGAAAGCTTTATACAATAAGAGGAAAAGGAATTCAGATATTTATTTGCTTAATTGTTTTTGCTCTATGCCAGTATTTTAAAAAATTGCTCTGATGATCCTTTTTAAATTGATATGGATTCAAACCCTGACAAGGAATTATTGTCAAATTTTCAACTTTTTTCTTGCATGCTCCCTGAAGCATCATCTTCTGCTTCAGTCTCTTCTTTGTAATATACTTGTTTGTTATATTTTATGTTGGGGAAACAAATCTTCAAAATGCCAAAGTTCCATTTAAAATAAAAGTGAGTAAAGTGCCATAGAAAATGAGATGTTTGCAGTAAGTTGCCAGCTAGTTCAAAGAGGTTTGATTTCTAAAAATTGAATTTCAAAATTCATTTTTCTTCTTTTGTGAAAAATGATTTTGGGTAATAAGATATTGTTGATATTATTCTTTGGCTGTGATTTTAGGTATAATTTTTCCTTGGGCAAAAACTCAAGACTTCAGTAAGGAATAGGAAATAAGGAATTCTTTGGTTACTTGTTGAAAGAGGACTGCATATATCTACTTTTTTTTTGAGTTAATGTCAGATTTGATTCTATACTCATCATGGAGAAAGAACGATAAATTGATTAATGTCATCATATGCTGCTTTAAAGACAAATACACATGGTTGTAATTGCAAAATCAAATTGCAAATCAAAATAGAAAAGTGATTGCTAATCTTAAATTGCCTACATTTCCAAGTCTTATATTATTTCAGTGTTTATAGTGCATATTCACTATTTTTCTTCAAGAAGATTATTGAAGCTAAAGATGACAAAACACCAGATGAACCAAATGGATTGATATTTGGAGGCATAATTTCTTGAAGATTTTGCTTACCCAACATAAAGATCCAGATCAGATGCATTATCTTCTCTGTTGCTTTATATAGGCGATCACAAGGAAGATGATGGGTTGCCTTAATTTGGCTTGCTGTTGCTAAGAGGTTGCCAACCCCTGGTTTAGACAGATTTTGTAATGTACAACCAGCGTTTAGCCACTTCCAGAGGATCTGACCAGTTGATGAAGATATCGCTTGTTCTTGCACATCATTAGCTTTGTTTTAGTTTACTGAGAGTCAAGTTATGTCTAATAGGGGTGAAATCAGGGAGTTTGCAAATACTGTGTTTACTTAAATACAAGACAAGGTTTTTTCCTCTATCAGCATGGGGGGGGAAGCCCCTCACTTTATATTTGCATACAAGGAAACCTCATTAAATACATTGTCTTTCATTGTACTGCTTCCAAAAGCAGCCTGTGCTCGGTAATGGAAACGAACTATGAAGTTGATTTAACTGCAGCCAGCACTGACCATAACTATAAACCACCTGGCCTATATTGGGTAAACCTGCTGATGGGTAAACCTTGTGTACATGTGTGTGGCCCTTAAAAAATGGTCTGGTGTTTCCTCCACATGGAACTGGCACCAGGTCTGGAGGTACTGCAATACCAGGATGGCAACTAGCCCTGACATCTTCCTGTTGGTGTAAACAAAATTCAGTTTATTAGAAATTGTTTAAGTTCAAATGGCAAAGTTCAAAGCACAAGGAAATACAAAAAGACCAAAGCAGGGGAGCTACATAGTAGAGGATGGGGGTAAGGGTGAAAATGCAACTCAGTTACATATGAAACATGCATCCAACTAAGCCTCTAGGTGGGAAGGGGGAAAAGGAAAGAGGGGGCATGACACTTAAAAGGCAGATAATATACAGGAGACCCCAAACAACAATACCTCATCGTAATAGGGAGATGGTTCGGGAAACATACAGTTACAAATAACATGCAGGATACAATTGGGCGGGTGGGAAAAAGTTCAGGCTTAAAAGTCCTTGGAGGCGATTTGGTGGAGCAGGGGGGTGTGGTCAGGTGGATCCCTCTGTGTTATTTCCAGCTGGTTGTCTGGTGGGGGTCCACATACTGGCTGTCGCATGATGTGTTCTACGTAGATGTCCCTTGACCATTGAACGGTGTTGGACACCATGAGGCACCATGTTAACTTGGTGTAATGGCGGGATATGCGGCAGGTGCGCAGGACACTGGTTGCTGGGGTCCCATCCTCCGAGCGCCCTGACGATCTGTGCCTCAACCAGACCATCATGTCATATCCCCAGCTTCTCAAGGTGTCTGCCAGTGAATGGTACTTCTCTTGCTTCTGTTTTTAAGGCTTGATGAAAGCTTGCTGCTAGTTCTTGAGCAAAAAGGTGACATCTGCTATCACAGGACACTTGCTGTCCTCTCTGGTTACCACGATGTCTGGGTGCAGCTAGCTCTTGCAACCTGGAACAGTGCAGTTGATAGACACAGTCCCTGCTGAGGCCAGGATGGCCTTGTCCAGTTGGTCCTGGATGGCACATGTAGGGAAGAATCTCTGTCTTGTAGCCACAGTGTTGGCATCTCCTCTAATGGTTTCTGTACCAGATGGCACCATTGAGCAGCAGGCCACTGAGGCAGGCGTGGTGCATGAAGCACCAGTCCGCAAACTGCCTGAAGCTCCCACTAGGTATGAAGTGGTTCCTTGCATCCCACTTTGAGGTGAGGTTGAAGACCGTACCCTGGTCAGATTTCGCCCTCAGGTTGCTGGAATACTTGACTCAGAAAGCGTCCTTTAGGAACCTCTCTGGGAGGGTCCTCAGGTAGGGGGTTACAGTGACGCAGCTGGTGCTAGGGGCTGGGAGCAGTGAGACTCCCAGCTCCTGGTGCTTCTTGGTCCAAATCCAGTTGCAGCTGATGTGCTTCCTGAGGCAGTGCGTGGTGGGCTTGGCTCCACAGCAAAGCAAAGTCCCTGCTATCTCAGCCAAACTGTCCTTCCATTGAGCTGCTCAGGAAGGTGGCCAGGTCGTGTCCAGTGGGTTGCCTCATGATCCTCTTGTGGGCAGTCTCCTTCAGGGTGCCGGTGGCAATGCTGCTTACAGTCTCATCCAGGAAGGTCAAGAAGTGGACGGTGCAGGTGATCGCTGATGTTGCAGAGGGTGCCCATGCTGGGCACCTTGGCACCTCTCTGCAAGTAGAGGACATGCAGGATCTCATTCTTGGCCCATGGCGGCAGGTGCTGGATCTTGTTGCTGGCCACTTCTTCAGCAGCTGCTGGATCTTGGTGTCCACCTTCTTGAGTGGGTTTTGGAAATCGGCGAGCCCCTCAGGACAAACGTGATGTAGGGAATGAGCAAAGTAAATAAATCAGAACTTTAATACAGCTGCAAATGGCTAGAGTAGGGGCAAAGTTTATCTTTTGTACCTTTAAAGAACTTTGTTAGCCTTGCTTTGAGATGACACACGCAGTTCAGTTTTGATCTCAATCTGTTCAGTCATTGGGTTGTCCATTACTACTAACAGTGTAATTTTGTTTTAAATTTTTTAGCCAGTTTCATAGATTTCATAGACATTTGGTCATGTTAGGATTTTGTGAAATAAATTCCTGTCCACCAGTTCCTTTTACAGAGTTTACCAAATAGTCATGGGATGGAAGTGACTGTGGAGTTGTGTTGAATTCAAAACAATAGTGACCTAAAAGTGAAAGAAAGCCTTCTTACCCTATTACCAGACCTTAGAGTGATCCAATCGTCTAATATACAATGAAGCTTTAAGTAAAATCCCATCTGATAATTCCCTTGTTCAAAGTCCATCATTTATAAAAATAGATTTAGCTATTCTAACATTCATGAAATTTCCCAGTTGCATTCTGAAAAATATTTTAAACCTGATAATGTAAAATCATTAGAGATTACAGAAGCTTAATTCGACAAATTAAGGGAAAGAATCTTGTGCAGCATGCCCAAATTTTTGATTTAGCAATTGGGTGTTGTGGAAGAAGCATGTTTTCAATGCTGGAAACATTTTCCAAAATATTCTAAGTGGTTTTAAAATTGCTGTTGTTGAGCCAGCTTTAAAATGTGCTGGAGAGACTCTGCAGACTATATTCTGGTATTGGAACCTTTTTTGCAGTGGCTTCAGTTGAAACTGGTTTCAAGCAACCTGTGTTTTTGGAGAAATGTACCTGAAATAGACCTGTACAAGGAGTCATTATTGACAGTAAGGTGTTAGTTCCCAAATTGCAGTTAATTTCTGAATTTTTTTAAATGTAAAAACACCTTTTTTCCACTCATTAGTAAGCAATACGGAGGATCTGGTGAATGTATTTAAATAGTGTACATTGTTAATGTTGTCTATTAAGTAAATATGGTTAGCTTCTCCCCTCC